CAATATTTTAGTGTTTGATACAGACTCTTCTGACGAAGAATCTGATAGCACTTTTTCTGCTCTAACTTTGTTTTTGGATCAGACATTTTTTACCTGGGATGACGCTCAAAAATTTTTAGATAGCTATGGGTTGGAGAAAGGTTTTAGCATACGAAGAAAACGAACTGAGTTTGATAGTAACAAAGTTTTAATTAGAGTTGGCTGGGAGTGTAGTTGCACAGGTAAGTATAAAGTGAAATAAATAGTTGGAATATTAACAAATAAAATTTCAGTAATAAAGATAAGAGCAAGGTCTCACCTTTAACATTAAAAAAAAACAAATAAAATTTCAGCAACTCTGAACTAAAAAATAAACAGTATTTAACTAATGTGTTTTATTTATTAAATTGAAAGTGAAGTGTGTAAGTTTTTATTATCCTGATGAAGCGTAGCGTTAATTAAACATGGCGAAGGCCCTTAATAATGTTACATAATTTTCTTTTTTAGAGGATTCTGTTTAATGTATGCATTGCAAAAACTTTTTAAAACATAATAATGAAATGGGACCAGTTCTTTAATCAAACATATAAAAAACACGAAATGTAAAAATATTTAAAGGCAACAAACATTATAGTTGTCCGAATCAGTTCTTGTTCTCTATATATTTCTCAAAAAACAAGTTAACAGGATATGATGAAAATGATTATTCGGCATTCTTATCTATTTCACATAATTATGCATGAAGGTTTTATAAAGTTCATTAAAAACTTGCAACCACAATATAAAATGATAAGTGAATGAACAGCACATGAAGATTGCATGAAAATTGTTAGTGATCTTAAAGAAAAAGTTTGTATATAAAAGAAAAAAAACTCTTTTTAGTACATTACCGGAAAATTCGTACAAACCAAAATTTTGACAAAAAACTCCCCTCTTTCCTCAAACAACCTTAAAGGAACCAGGGCCTTAGTACCTACGAAAAGAAAATACTTCATGACAAACATGGGCAAACAACAAAACAAGAAACTCAAGCAGTCTCCAGACAAGGAGGAAAAAGTTTTAGAGTTTTTCACTATAGAGAATAAAGACAAAAATTTAGAAAACCAAAGCATTCAGGAATCTAATAGTTAACCAGTAATCTCTACAGACACAGTCTTCTCTGAAGTTAAAAATGCAGAAACTAGTTGGGCTGCGCAAATAGATAAGATAGAAGAAGCAAAACTAAAGAACATGGAGGCAAAGACTTCCCAAGAGCCTCAAAGAACACGTAAAACCACAGCCAACTCAAAAACAAACCACATTCAAACAAACAACAAAGTAAACACGTACCAAACAACAAATGGAACAAAACAACCCAACATCACTAAGGTTGACTACCAAGAACAAACTGAGACACGTAGTGTAAATGCGAAAACAACAATATCAAAGTCTAACAAAACTGCAAGCCCAGATACAGAACATGTGTTTGACAAAAAGGACCAATTAGCAAGTGACATATCTTCAAGTCACAAGAAGACTTCTAAATCTACCAGTTTTACAGAAACTGCTACAACTAATAACAAAGAACCCAAACCAAGACAATGGTCTGACTTTTTCCTTAAACTTAAAAGAAAAAAAGCTGTATTTACAAACTCTACCCCAAGACAAAGAATCTGCTCAAAGAATGAGAATGCACTTATCCTAGATATTCAAAAACTAGAAAACTTCTTCACAAATGATATTATCGTAGCTTTAGCTATAAAGCTGGGTGATGATCTAGTTGGCGCCAAAGTCCACATGTCTAGAGGTAAATGATCCTCACTTGAAATAGTTCTTAAAGACAACAAACGACTCCAACTCTATACTACTAAAGGCATTAGCCTGCTTCAAAGCACTATCTTTGGCTACTTACCTGTAAATTCTAACTGCTTCTTCCTTATGGTCAAGCTCAAGAATATGCCTATAGAGGATATCAAATTGATCACAAATAATATTCTTGAAGCGTTTCAGGATATAGGCAAAATCTCTGCAATAAAACTACTATTATACAAAGGAATCTCAGTTTGCTCTGACTAATAGCTGCTAACCTTCGAGACTACAAATAACCCAGATCTATGTTCAAGAATTCCTAGAAGCACTCATATAGAAAACTACAAAATCTTAACTGAATGGAAGGAAGTACCCAAAGTATGCTTCTATTGTGATAGAGAAGGCCATATTAAAAAAGACTGCAGAGAATTAAAGGAGTTAATAGAACTCTGATAGCATTTAAGAAAAACTAGTGAACTAAGAGAAAAAGCCAGAGCTGCTAGTACTCCATTTACAGAACTAAACTTTAGTGCAGATAACCCTTATACAAAGGTAGATACAACTGCCACTAAACCAAACAAATATAACAACACCAAGAACACAGAACCAGAACAAAAGGCAGAGATGGTCAAACCAGAACCAGAGGTGATAGTAACAGACCTACCAGAAAAATTGAATCCACACACTGCCCTAACCAGCACCAACCACACAGAGACAATGCCCACAGATATGCCATTAGCGATAGATAATTCTAATCACACAGAGGCTATATCTACAGAAACCCCATTAGCAACTGATAATGCTGACCACAGGGAGGCAATGCCTATAAATATACCACCAGAAATAGACCCTATCAAAATACAAGAAGAACCCTTTACAACCGTAAGCTACAAGAAAAACAAAAGCAAAAACAGCCTCAAAAATACATCACGCGGGTTCCAACCATACAAGAACATAGATAGATCCCACCAGGGTCTATTCACACACACAAGAAATAAACACAAAGGTCACAACCCAAGTGTAGCACCTTTACCTCTCTTTAAAATTCATGATTAAAATAGCTACACTAAATGTTAAGGGTCTAAATAACAGGCCCAAAGCACAAAAAACACTTGTGCTACTCAAAACATATAACTTAGACATCATCATGTTACAAGAAACCAATTTAAATGATATTCAAACAAGTATTTAAGATTTTTTTTTTTTATATTTTAAAATAATAATAATAACTCATCAAAGTTTTTTAAATAAATATATGAATTAATGAAGTATTAGCTTTAAAAGTTTGAGCAATAATTTCAATAAAATCAAATATGCACAATAATAAAAGTATGCTTATATTTTGCATTTTATAAATGAAATTCTTTAAGCAAAAAATGATTTTATATAGCCGACTCTAAGCTATTCTATAACACTAAAAAAAGAATAATAGCAACTTTTCATCACTTTCAAAAAATAAATACTATAATATTTGTTAACTCTATTAACATACAAATATTCCAAAATTTCTATCGTATCTACAATTATAAATCAAAAGTAATAAAAAAACCTTTAAAGTATGAAAGATTAGAAAAGCATAAGGCAAAAACTTTCATTAAAAAGAAGCTCTATGAATGTATTTAACAGAAATTTAATGTCAAGAGAATTTTTGGCACAACAGTGGAGCTACGACTCTATCTGGTCCTCAAAAACAGCGATACTAGCTAGCAAGAAAAACATCAAACTCACCAACTCCAAAATCTTACAAGAAGGAAGAATAATAATAGCAGAAACAGAAATTAAACAACAACCATACACACTTACAAATATATATGCCCTACCAAACCAAAGTGACCATATAAAGTTTCTGAGAGACTGGACCCCTGAAAGCCCAGAAGGCAATATAAGCATAATTGCAGGGGATTTTAACACCA